CACGCAACGCATCACTCGCACGCGGAGTTCATCACGGCCGAGAGCACGGGAGTTCGAGTCGTTTAACCTCTTGAGCTTTATAAGAGGTAAGCTCCCGTCGACTTTTGACCGAGAGTATCATGTTTATTTAAGATTAGATTTTATATGGTCCGTCGGCTCCGGAAGCGAGATATTCCCCTCGTGCGCATTCAGTGGGATCGCCACGGAGCTACCTGGGAGGAAGAGTCGGACATTCGCGCTCGTTTTCCAGATTTCCAGTTCTGATGTACATATTCTGTTATCTTATGTACATAGTTCATGTATAGTAGTCATGTTTTGAATTTCCGAGGACGGAAATTTGTAAGGAGGGAGGATTGTAATATCCCGAGATATTATCAGTATAATTAATTCCGATATAGTAACGTTATCGTTTATTATTTTCGGAATTAATTAAGTTCAGTCGGGATTACCGAAATCTATTTTCGGCGTACCGTTTACGTCCGAAATAATTTTGGTAATTAAGTATTATGTTTAATTTATCAATTAAACATCATTTGAGTGATTAATTGGAATTAATCACCATCATTAGCCCTAATTGGTATAAATGCCGTGAGATTAAGGTGTCTTGCCCAAGTTTAAGTCTAAAACTGAAAGCTTCCTTAGGATTAAGGGAAAGAAATTGACCAATTAGAATTTGAAACTTGTCAAGAAAAGAGCATGCTTAGTCATCATATTATCATCTCAAATTATAGCAAATGGCACAAGGAGAAGGTAGCCACGCCTTGGCTACCTCATCAACTCCTCTCACGGCTTTGCTATATAAAGCAAGTTTGGGGACGATTTTTGCCCACTTTTTCCTAAGGAAAATTCAGCTCCTATTTCTTCCTCCATCAGCTTCCACAGTTAAGTAAATTTCCTTAAATTTTCACTAAAATCGCACGGCTAAAGGAGTACAATCGCACGGCGAGACAAACTTATCGCACGGCGAGCGCAAATCGAGGGAACACGCCTTATTCACCAAATTCAGTCGAGAGTTTCAAGAGGTACTGCTCTCCTCAGTCTCTATTCATGATGAATAGATCATTTTTGAGTTAATCGTTCGAGTCTTATGTGAAAAATCATAGCAAACCCGTACCTAAGTTCATGTATGTTTAAGTGATTTTAACACCGAACAAAGTTTGATTCTCTCCGACAACTTTCGAACCCTGATTACCTAAATGTTCAGTTTAGTTTAATTAATGCTCAATAGGATCAGATTGTTGAGTAAATATGCAGAAAAGCCGATGAAATGGCCTCAGCCGGCGCCCCCGCACCTATTGCGCGTAGCCTTGGGTAGCCAAGGGCCGAGGCTTGTTACTTTCAGTATTCAGCATAACTGTCCGTGTGATTAGTCCTGATATTGCTTCAAATTAATAAGTATGCTAAGTTGTTCGGTAGTTGTCGGATGATATGTGAGATCGGCCGAAGGACGGCATATAGCCGTCGGCGGCGCTCGGGTGTTCGCCGCGGCCTTCGCAGGTTCAGCATGTGTTCGGTGTATTTTCAGGTCTGATTCGACAAGTTTATTCAAGTTAAGTTCAGTTAATTTAAAATGGTCGATGTCTTTTTCAGTTCGGCCGAGAGATGACCGAAGGCCGTAGGCATCGCATATAGCGAGTGCACCACGGCCGAGGGTTCGGTTCATCAAGCCAAGTTCAGTGAGTTCATGATAAATTCAGCTTAATATTCATTTTAGGTCATAACATGTTAGTTGAAGTCAGATTGGTCGGAAAGTTTTGCCGGACGGTCGGCATGGAGCCGACTCAGCAGCTCCATAACCAAGAGCTTTTGTGAGTTTTGACAGCTTGAAGAATGGATGAATTGGGAAAGTATCTGTCTTTCAGAATTTGGCTGACAAGAAGCTCAGGATTAGAAGAAATTCTCCAGAGTTGTTTACAAATCAAGGCAACATTGAATAGCTGGATGTCAATAAAACCAATGCCTCCATTCTGCTTAGGGAGGGTCATTTTTTTCCAGCTTTTCCAGAAAATGCATTTTGAGCTGTCCTCATTTGTGTTCCACCAAAATCTAGCACAAAGACTAGAAATCTCATTGCAAATTGACTGGGGAAGTCTGAAGCAAGACATAGGAAAAATAGGTAGAGCTTGAATCACAGACTTTAGAAGAACTTCCTTACCCGCAGGAGAAAGTAATTTAGATTTCCAGCCTTAAAGTTTCACTTTGATAGCCTCCACCAGGTAGGAAAAGATTTCTTTCTTAGATTTCCCTATACCCAGGGGTAAACCTAAGTATTTGGTGGAACTGTGGCATGAGATACCATTCATCACTGAACAAACTCTGGACTTAATGTGAGCAGGAGAGTTTCTGCTGAAGAAAACAGCTGATTTAAGAAGATTAACAGCCTGGCCTGTATAGAGTTTGTATTTATGCAGAATATTCATCAACACTCCAGCTTGGTGAGCATCAGCCTTGCAGAAAAGAAGAGAGTCGTCTGCAAAAAGTAAGTGAGAGAGCAGAGGACCATTTTTAGAGAGTTTTAAGCCCTGCAATAGGCCAGAATTCACAGCATCAAGAATGAGGGCAGAAAGAAGTTCAGCCATGATAATGAATAGATAGGGGGAAATGGGATCCCCCTGTCTGATCCCTCTGGTTGGCTTAATATATCCAGTAACTCTACCATTAACCTTCACTGAGAGAGTAGAAGAAGAAACACAGACCATAATAAGAGCTACAAAGTCCTTGTGAAATCCCATTTGAATCATAATCTGTTGCAGGCTAAGCCACTCTACCCTGTCAAAGGCCTTAATGAGATCCAATTTAATTGCCATGAAACAGTGTTTGCCTGAGGTAAGTCTGTTGAGATAGTGGAAGGCTTCCTGTGCAATGATCACATTGTCAAGTAACTGTCTTTCTTTGAGGAATGCTGATTGGTAAATGCTAATGCAAGAGTGAAGACAGTTTTTCAGCCTCTGGGCAAGGATTTTAGAGAGCACCTTGTAAACTACAGTACATAGCCCAATGGGTCTAAATTGGCTCAGAGATTCAAGAAGTGGGCATTTAGGAATCAAAGATAGGACGGTGTGATTCCAGTACTGTAGCAATTGTTTGGAGTGAAAGAAACTCTTGATAGCAGAAGTGAAATCAGTTTGAATTAAATCCCAGAAATGTTGATAAAAAAGAGCATGCATACCATCTTCCCCCAGGAATTTCTCTGGTTCCAAACTGAAAAGAGTGTCTTTGATTTCAGCATCCTCAACAGGGAGTAGAAGAGTTAGGTTCATATCCTCAGTGATGGTTTTAGGAATGAGATGAATGATTGCATCACCCCCCAGAGTTCCTTCAGATGAAAAAAGGTTAGAGTAGAAATCAGAGATATGATCTTCCATTTCTTTATGAGTACAAAATTCCTGACCTCTGGCAGAAACCAATCTAGATATAGCATTCATTCTCCTTCTTTGCTGAGCATAGGCATGGAAGAATTTGGTGTTCCCATCACCTTCCTTCAGCCATTTAATCTTGGATTTTTGTTGCCAGTAGCTCTCCTCAAAGAAATGAGCTCTATTGAGGTCTCTCCTGGTGTTCTCCCAATCTTCCCAATTTGAATTGGTCTTGTTTTCTCTTAGTTCTTCCAGTTTTTGAGTAAGGGATTTGATTATAAGCTGATTCTTGGAGTGAAAGGATGAACTCCATTGCAGTAATGCCACCCTTGTGAACTTGACTTTCTCTTTGAGTTTGAAGAAAGGAGTACCTTCCACTGAGGTCTGCCAAGCTTTGTGAACTGTATCTGTGAACCCTGCCATGCCAATCCATCTCTTCTCAAATGAGAATCTTTTAGGGGTTTTACAGCTAGGATCTCCTGAGTTGAGTAATAATAAGGAGTGATCAGAGGAGCTTTTGACCATATTCAGAACTTTGGCATTTGGGGAAGAAAGCATCCAGTCTATAGAGCCAAAAACTCTGTCCAGTTTTTCTTCCACCACTTCTTCTGAGTTCCTATTGTTGCACCAAGTATACTGGTAACCGATCATTGGAATTTCCTCCATCTCCATTTTATTGATAAAAGAGTTGAAACCTTGGAAGCTGGAGTTTCCTCTGATAATACCACCAACCTTCTCTGAGTTTGCACAAATGTCATTCCAATCGCCTGCTGCAAACCATTTAGGCCCCCAAGTAGGCTTAAGAGATTCCAAGATTTCCCATTGAGTAATTCTGTTGTTCCTGCAGGCACTCATATAAACAAAAATCCCCCATTGCTTATCAGATTGAGGTAGCTGGAATTCTACAGCAATAAAAAAGTCCTGATATATAAACTGATGAATAATGACATTAGAATTCCAGAAAAGGAGTAGGCCACCACTAAGGCCTTGGGGGTTAACAATAGCCCTTCTGTCTTCACAACCAAGCCTCTTACAAATAGTATTAACAAAAGCAGAATTTTTTTTAGTTTCTGAAATAAAGAAAAAAGATGGGTGATGAGCCTTAATGGTCTCTCTGATTTGGGAAACTGTAGAGGGCCCACCCAGCCCTCTACAGTTCCACACCGCAGCTAGCATTGATCACTTGGGTGCCATTCTAGGCTGGCCACCCCCACCTTACCAGATTCAATCTTTTGCTTTTTATTGTCCTCCTGAGCAGAGTTAGGAGAAGAAGAGTCTATCTTTAGGTTTTCTTCAGATTATCTTGGCCTTTTTACAGAGGATGAGACATCCTGATTAGAAGAAATAATAACCTGTCTTTGCAACCTCCCCATTCTGGATTCTGATCTTTTCCATAATTTTGGCTGATAAATAGCTTTACCAGCAACTGAGATTTGGATGGATTTTTCCATAGCAGCATTTGTCAAGACATCTTCTATTTCCATTTCCTTACTGAGGTCTTGTATTTCAGGCTGTGTATTCTCTGGCACCATATTTGAAGAAGAAGATACCCCCAGATGATGCTGAGGGTTTATTTTAGACATGGTCTTGACCGGTTGGGAGGTTGAAGCTTCAGAGTCTTGTCTAATGAGTTGGGAAGGAGAACCTTCAATAGAGAGAATTTTGTTGTTGCCAGGCCCAGAGGATTTGGCTAATGGGTCATGAGATTCTGAGTTCACTGGAGATGATGGACTATCAGTGTGAGGAGGACTTTGAGAACCAGCAGAATGTTGGCCTGCCCATCTGTTGAAATCAGTAGCTCGCATCCAAGCTCCATATTGGCCTTCATGTAGGGAGTGAGATTTAATGTCATCGAGTCTGATTGAGCAGGCTCTATCCAAATGCCCTATGAAGCCGCAGTAATGGCAGAGGTTCATTAGCCTTTCATATTTGAAACCCACACTCACTGCTTGATCATCCAGTCTGAGATTAGCACAACGGGGTAAAGGTTCTTGAAGGTCTACTGTAACTAGCAATCTCATTATTCTGCCACCATGGCTGCCTGCACCCACAATAACCACATTCTTCACTTGTTTGAAAACTTTCCCTATTTTCAGACCAACTTCAGTACTAAGCCAATCTAGGGGAATATTGAACACTTGAACCCAAAGGTTAAGCTCTTTGAAGATGGAATGATTGATCGAAAGGCCCCGTTTCCATTCTGAGAGGATAAGGTACTGGTTATCGTACGTCCAGTTAACCCTCTTTGCTACCTTGTCTTTGTCCTCTTTGCTCTCAAAAATGAACTGATAGTAATTAGTACCCAATTCCTTGATTTCCATCGGCTGACTGAGCTTCCATATGTGACTCATAGCTCTTTTAACCCCGATCCAGCTGGTAACTCTGTCGCCGATAATCTTTCCGAACAGACTGCGATTACATTCATCCGCACTAATTTTGATGTCGCTCCGACCCAGATCAATAAAGGAGTTCTCTTTGGATAGAAGAGAGACATTTTGCAATTTATGGGCCAATTCATCGTCTTGACCAACACAGTTCGAAGAACCCATGGAAACCCTAGATTTTGCCCAAGCGATTGAGTATTTAGAAAAGGAATCTCACACAGCTATCAAAGAAGGGGAAAGATGGCTCAGAATCAAGGAAGAAGACAGCAAAATAGAACTGGTAACACATCAAGATCGAAGAATTGAGACGCTCCCAGACGAGAGAATTGAGACGCTCCCAGACGAGAGAATTGTCATCGAAATATAAATGTAATTTTCAAATTTGATAAATTTGCATTTAAAGAGTGTATATTTGGGCAAGATTTGTTATTGTTTAAAAAAAAAATTATAAAAACATGATGTTGTGCATATTTATATAAACGCATGCACAACAAAAAAATTGTTTGTTTTGTTTTGTTTCAGTAACTAGTAAAAATCATGTGCGATGCACGGGTAAGAGATACTCATTAATATTCATATATTAACAATACTAGTACAGAGCCCGTGCGATGCACGAGGTGCACAATTTTAAAGCCATTTATCCAGCCTTATAATTATATAAATGAATAAAAAAACTATACGGAATATATATATAGTACGTGACATGTTCGAGGCACGAGATATATTTATTTGGAGATTATTATACTATAAGATGTAATATTCAATAAAAGTTTTACAATTCACGAAAATAAATATAAATAATGTAAATATCTAAATACATACACGATATGTGGAATAAATAAACAAAATTGCAAATCTGAAAATATAATTTAAAAAATAGAAAATATATTTCACTAAACATGTACAAAATATCTAAATACATACACGAAAAAAAAATTATATACGTTTCAAATTTTGAAATTAAAACAAAAATTCACAATTTGGCTTACAGTTTTATCATGTATAATTAACTCGAGATATGATTTATATGTATGCCCTAGTCGTGGAAAAATATTCTCACAATTCGAACTTTCAGCATAGGTCTATTAGACCTATTGACTTGTTTGATTAACCCAAATCCTTGATTCATTGTTTTGAATAAAATACTGATTGAGGATATATTTATTGTTCGCAGGAGGTTGATAGTGAGGAACATGATGACTCGATATTTTGAGATTTGTAATTTATAATGGGTATAGTAGATATATATTATTGTTAATATTTTTATTAGAAAATCTGAATTTGAAAATACAAAAATTGATTTAAACAAAATCAGAACTGATTTCTATACAATTAGATAATAAATAAAGAGTTTTTTATTTTAGTAAAGATTTCACGTATTTTTTTTACTTATCAAATGTTTATGGGTTGTTTTTTTTTTTGTTAAACCGATTTTATGGGTTATAATACAAATACAATTAGAGAATTGAACGTATTTCCATACAATTAGATAATAAGAAAGAATTAAATAAGGAAAAGAAGGAATTAAATTAGGAAATTAGAATCTACCTTTTTATTTTACTGATAAGATTATAAAGTCATTCATCATTGTTGACTATTTTACATACAAATTAGTAAATAGGTTATAAGATTATAAGTATAGATTTATTGAATAATATCTATAAATTAAAAATACATCATCAGTAAAATATGTCTATTTTAAATAAAATGTGAAAAAATGTGAAAAAGTGATTGTTCCATTTACGTCTAAGTTAATATTGACCCGTAAATTATGAATAATTACTTATTTGACTATTTGTAACCCAAGTTTGTACTACACAATAAATTATTATATATATATAAACACGCACACAAAGATGTTATCTCGCAATCTATACTTATATTAAAAGCTATACTATTTACTAAATGTAGTATGTAGAATAGTCAACCCTAATTAATGATTTGCTATTTTTATCAAGCATTTAATTAATGTATCTAATATTTTTGGTATGCAAATCAAATTAGCATTTAATTAGTTCCTAAAATATTGGGTATGCAATATTAATTTAGGAATATCCATGTATTTCGTAAAATGTTGGTATGCAATACGTAAAAGAAGATTTTTTAATTTTTTTAAATAAAAAATATTGCAACACGTAAATCTGGAATCCGATATCGGCAACGTTAGACTAACACATTCGTCCGCACGACCGTTGAATACTCTATCTCGAAAGAACCTTTTATAAATCGACTCGTCGCTGTGCAACGACACAGCCATGCCCTGCAATGATGATAGACATTAATAGACTAAATTGGAGAATTATTAAAATGATAATGTGTCTCACACTGAAAGATGCCGGCAAAACCCAGTTGCGTTTATTACTATCTTATGGGGTCCGATTCAGTGACACATGCAGGGCAACCAAATCAATGACCTACACAGAGAATGAACTACATATGAATCTATTTGAACTAGTGCACCAATAAGAAAACTAATTTATGAATATTTTCGAACCGGGCTTCTCAACCAGTGTGGATATTCAATTGTTAACATCTCTGCTCTAGTGATCGTCTAACCCTCATAGTCGACCAACATTTGGCTGAACAAAAACATTTGTCAAACATGATTGTAAATGCAGTGCTGGTGTTCAGATTTGAAAGGGAAAATGTTAATATATATATATATACATATATATATATATGTATATGTATATTACATATACATATATATATATATATATGTAAAATAAAAATCCATAATACGCAGGGGTGCTGTTTGCTTACGAAACATCTATCATATTATTGAAAATGTAATTGTCCGCATGAATGTCCCTAATCGTTATTTCTTGAAAATACTGAAAGATGTCTTTTCTAGTGTTGCATTTATACGGCGAGCAAGCGTCGACATCAAATTCCAACAGTTTATTTTTCTCTTCAAACGGTTCTTCTGAGGCACCTTTTAGGAAATATGTTATGGCAGATACCGCCTGATTAAGAATGGTTAATTGCTCAATGATCTTGTTTGTTACATGTGAAAATGTGTGTGAGTCACGCTGATTAGGATCCTTTGAAACGCTTTCATCCATCTTCATTCTGTACAACTTCTTATTAACTTTCCAATTCTGAAATACATTTAAAAAAAATACGTACATTATTAATATGATAATGGCGAGTTAATAAAATTTCATACAAACAAATTAAATTCACATGTGTACTTACAAAAATCTTATCATAACCTCCCATTTGCTTAAACACCTCAATTGCTCTAGAAATATCTTGCTGGCTCCATTGTTCTAAAAAAGGGGATCCAGTATGTAATTGTTTTCGGACAATTTGGAATGATCTCGTCACATAACCAAGGAAAACCACCTACAATTGTTTAAAATAAAGTTTACAATATATGTTATGCAACCATTTATTAATTAACATATGATGCATATAACGTTAGTGTACTTGCAGTAATAGAACACATCCCGTGATGTACAATTTATTATTGCATTGCACTGACGTAGTTCCCTCATCCAACTTGCGCAGAATTATTTCACACCAGTTGTATTCTTGGACAGCATTTAAATCAACCAAGTAGTTTAGAAAATCATAGTCCAGATGTAAATGACTATCAAGTGGAAACAACACCGTGGCGGAAAGCAACATCAAATAGGGAACTATGAATTCAGACCCGTTCGTCTTGCAATTTGTCACCATATTATGAAGCTCCGCAAATCCAAAGAATTGTCCTTCTTTCCCACAAAATAAATTACCGTACTTGATTCTACCATCGACAGTTTTAGAATTTACCATTCCTTCACTTGAAAAACCGAAATGTTTCTCCACAACACCGAGTGACAGAATAAGTCTCTTACCTCCAAACATAATAGTTCTTGATATGGGATCATAATTTTTAACCAAGAAAGCCACCAACTTTGAATCCATTTGTGAAACGTTCATACGCGATAATGTACCAAATCCAACCTTGTCTAAATCACGACGCTGGCCAGGAGTTAAGTTTTTATTGATCTTGAGCAGTGTCGCTAGTTTTGTTCTGTGAAAGAAAAATAAGACATCCCTTGAATAACCTGGTGCTTTGATAACTTCTTTTCTTCTTCTTCTGGAATGAATATCAGGTGTAGCCTTCAATTTGAAAATTTAATTTAAGTGAATATTAAAACATTTACACGACATATGAATTTCATTACGAAAGCAAATAATATGAACTAGCCAACAACAGCAATTACCTCTTGAAAATCAGTCATTTCTTGGAAAAGTCCCACTTGCTACGTTTGGTAATGGCTCCACCTATGTATGCGAGTATGGCGTTCCCTTTGTTTAAGATGAAAGATGGAGGTAATTTTCTGATTATGGAGGTATATTTTTCTCTACATAGTGAGCAAGCAGCGTGGATAGGGTGATTTTTTTTTCCGTATGACCGTCGTTGAGATCTTTTAGGTTAACTGATTGGGTGGTTATTTTTTCGTGTGTCCGTTGAGATCTTTTAGGTTAATTATCAATTACGTATCCCGATATCCGTGCTTTCAATTCACTACATAAGAAATTACCTTAATCAATCAATGAAATGTCAATATATTTTGAATATATTAGTAGCAGTTGACATATAAATGTAATTCTCAAATATGGTAAATTTGCATTTGAAGAGTGTATATTTGGGCAAGATTTGTTATTGTTAAAAAGAATTTGAAAAAAATGAATATGTTTATCATATTTATTTAATTACCAAAAAAAAAATGTTTTGTTTGTTTTGTTTCAAAAATTATTATATTAGCATACATATATTATATATTTACTATGACACGTTTTATTTGTGCAACTTACTTGTGTTATATTATAATAATTCTTTTACCTTACAACATATAACTATATTAAACATAAATATATCAATTGAGAAATAATATTATTTTGCTAATGTATTATAATAAATATTATTATTTTTAATAATAATGAAAAATATATATTTATTTCATATATATAATATGGATGTCAAATTGAAGATCATCAAAAGATGATCAATTTGATATATTATATATGTAAAACCTATAAGATATACAAAAGTTATCAGGTTTGAAAAATATATTTACAATTCAATAGGTAATTTTATGAAGCAAATCAAAAGTCATGGATATATTATTGCAAACTGGTATATAAACAAAAGTTCACTCAGGTTTGAATTTAAGTGAA